CGACTACATGGGAGTCCAGCGACATAGCCATTACGCTAACTGCTGGTCCCCAATAAAATATTTAAAAAAAAAAAAAAAAGTGTACCTGGTAGCTTAAAATTCATGGGGTGGGGACAGGTGGCATGGTGGTTAAGGGCACTGGATTTCCACATGGCCAACCAGGGTTCAAGTCCTAGACCTGGCAGCTTGCTTTCTCACTTTCTCTCTCTCTCACTCTGTCCCTCTCTGGTCAAAAATAAAGCTTAATAAAGTAATTCTTGGGAAAAAAACAAAACAAAACAAAACAAAAAAATCCCTCATGCCAGGCACGTGTATGTGCATGCCCAAGATCCCAGGGGGAGAATGGAGAAGGAATCACGGTGTAGCCATTCCCCTAGAAGGTGATTTCTCACTTTCACTCGCTCTCTCTCTCTCTTGCGAGCAAATGTGCTCTACAACAAAAATCTCCCTTTAAAAAAATTCTGACAGCATGAAGAAATGGAAAAGGGATTGTGGCATGACCACACATCATGGCAGGTACTCTCTCTCTGAAGAGCACACATAACCTCTGGCAATCAAAACAAAGAGAAAGCTCAGACTCTGCGAGAACTCTGCAGTGTCAATAACCCCACTTTTATAAAAAATACAGAAATTACATATTTTAATATGCATATGAATGGAAGAATGAGCAGTTCGTAGTCGTTAACTCTGGAGAAGAAACAGAAATGAGGGCAAGAGGGTTAGCAAGGAGACAGCTAGTCGAGACGAGTTTGGAGAAAATCTGAGTTGTGTGATTTTTAAAAATTATATAATCAGGGGACCCGCAGTTGGTGTAATGGCTACATCGCTGGACTCCCTTGTAGTTGACTGTGGTTTGAGTCCCAGACCCAGTGGCTTAAAGTCATGCCAGGCATGTGTGCCCAAGATCCTGAGAGAATGGAGAAGGAATTGTGGCGTGGCCATCCCTCCTGGGGGTGATTTCTCACTGTCTCTGTGTCTTTCTGGGGAGTACACGCGCCCTATAGCAAAAAGCTCTCAAAAGAAAAATATATAGGGGACCAGCAGGCGGTGTGGTGGTTAAGGTGCTGGACACTCCCACATGGCCAACAATGGTTTGAGTCCCAGACCTGGTGGCCTGCTTTTTCACTTTCCCTCTCTCTCTGGCTAAAATAATGAATAAATAATTTAAAAATAGACATATATATATATAATATATATATATAATTAGAGCAGATAGACTTAACAGACATGTCATCTCTTTTTAATTGCTAGAGGGCACATGTACTTGCTAGACACACAAAAAATCCCCAAATGGGTGTATGCTGCAATCCCTTCTCCACCTCCCTCTTTTTGGGATTTCGGGCATGCATACCTGGCATGCCCGGGATTCAAACTATGGTCTACTACGTGAGATCCAGCTCCCTTAACTACCAGGCTACGGTAGTTACACACTGGTCCAAAAGCCGCATGAGGGACAGCAGATGACATGGAGGTCAAGGCAGCTGAATCCCGCATGGCCAGATAGCATGGCTCAAGGCTGGACCTGGCTGGCTTTAAAATCTCGTCAGGTGCATGTGCGTGCATGCCCAAGGTCCTGAGGAGAATAGAGATGGGGACAGCCATCCTCCCTGGGGGTGGTGACTGCTCACTCATGTTGCACACCTCACCCCACCCCCATATGCACATGCACCGTAAAAATAATTTTAACAACAAAAAACTATCTTGTTCAATACACAGCTCAACTCTTTCTACTAGCAGAGGAAGGGGAGCCTTTACGAAGTAGACTTGCTTCCCCTGGGTTTCCCCCACCTACACCTATAGTCCCAGAAAGCAGCAGATGCTTCTGACAACTGGCTACCCATTGGACAGTTACCTCAAGCAACAAAAACTGCCCTGACTTTTGTATCTACAATGGGTCCTCTGGGAGAAGTTGTATCAAAAATGATGACTATACTTGCAACTCCAGCAGTATGGCTTCCCTTGCACTTGATGTACCAACAATAATAAACAAAAGGCATCATGCTTTTTAAAACTTTATTTCAACATAACTATGCTTACAGAAATACACTCATATGGGTTAATAGAATGCAATTTAAGTTTAACTTATCCTACACAATTTGGACCAAAAACTTGGTACATGGTTTTAAGATTAAAACAAAAAAGGATTTGTAATCTGCTTTATTTTTATCTATTACAAATGTATAAAAGATTCTCATCAAATGCTACTAAAGAAGGCAGCAAGAACCATGAGAAAATTACCTTTGGTTTGCCTCAGGAGAAAAAACACGTATTGCACTGTAAAAGTTTATAAAATTGGTGCAACAAAACATTGCTGTAATGTTTCAATGCCAGTTTACAAAGTTCAATAACTAGTGAATGTAGAAGGCATGGGAGGGGCCTATGTACACACGTGGGACTGTAAAAGCTATCTGATTTAGTTAATATTGCATGTAGATTATAAATCTACACAAACCACGATTCAGATAATTTCTTAAATCTGAATTAACACTATCAGCTTGCTTCATCAACTGAGGTTAACATGGAAACTCGGCACGCTAGCTGTTAAGTTCTTCTGACTTACAAAAGAAGAAAATTACATTTCTTCCCAGCTTTTCAGTCCAGAGCGATAGCATACTGCAGGCCAGGTCTTCCTTTCACTGCCGACATTCGCGGGGCGACATGCAACAAGGCCTACTTGGGTTCTGATGTGTATCAGCACTGGTATGCCCAGCAGACCCCAAGCTAATGACCACATGATTTCAGAAGTTGACTCTAAGAATGAAATGGCTCTTCTTGGAAGACAAGAGCAAAACACCCAGCCACAGTTATAAGAAGCCATATCAAAGCAACAACAACAACAAAAATGCATCCCCTTGTGAAGTACATCTCAATTTAAAAAAAAATAATAAAAAGTAGCCCCCAAATAAGAAGCAGCTCTGAAATAAACAGGAAAAAATATAACTTAAAATATCTTGAAAACCAGTGGGAATACAGATTCAAAAGACAGTTAAAAAGATTCATTTTCATAAGACTACCTAGATTAGGCTTATAATATATTCTAATAATTCAAAGTTACCACTAGTTACTAAACATAAATTTACAAATAACAGGTTTATTTTTTGTTCCTTTATCCAGAGAAAATTCTAGCTTCAATTCTACCCAGTAGGGGAAAGGGGAGGGATGATAAGAAAATAAAAAGATCCAAACAGTTCCATGCAAATATCACATCAAATGAAGAACTCCCAACTGGACCAGAAGTTCATGTTTCTAATATGCTTTTCATCGAAACAATTTTAATAAGTAAAAACACATGGCATTAAGGTTCAGAACCTAATATAGGCCTGACAATCAAGTTTTTGTTTTCTGGAAGAAAGGCCTCAAATCCCAATTAGTTTCCAGTAACAATGTTTTCACAGATCAATTTAACAATGAGGGGTTTTAATTTCATTTTTTAATTTTAGCATTCTAATCTTAAAGACTAGAAGAGTTCAATTCCCCAGAAGGCAAACTGGTTTATTTTTCTGGCAGTATGAAAGAATCCACAAAAACCTCTTCCCCAAACTGATTTCCCAGCATCCAGTCTGTGCTCACGATGAAATCTCTATATAATGCAAAAGTTTAAGTTAGGTAAAATGTACCCAGGGACGTTAAAACTAGTTGTTAGAAGGATTTAACTGGCTTTATAATTTAAGTTTTAAAACATAAATATTTGCAGCTTGATCTTCTGTAGACAATGATTGTCGGAGCCTAGAATTCAACATCTACAAATTCTCATTCATGCACACAAAACACAACCATCATCCCACAACCCATTCCTCGTGTCTTTCCACAATGTTCTGCCGTTTTAAGTCTTTGGCCTCCCCGTCAATTGCAAGTTCAAACAATTTTGAGCTCAAACGTCACTCTGAAAGTTTTAACAAGTTCTCCACCCATACATCATCAATGCTTTTCTTAGTCTTTAATGCTGTACTGCCCAAATCGGAAACCTGTCTTGAAGAGACCACCAGATGAAAGAAAACAAAATAAAATACGAAGTGGTTATTTTAAACCAGAACATGGGAGCTCAGAATCCAAGATTCCCTACCGGGAACACACTTTATTTTACTGCGATGAATGACTGCCATCAGTAAGAAAAATCTTAAGTTGGATTCTTTCATACTCTGGCTTCTGGCCAAAGTTTTGGAGTGCCACCCTTTTTCATACAAAGGACCCCCCATAGGAACACCGGGAGAGCTGCGATTCATTTGAGGCCTCACCTGTAGAAAGAGGCTGTCGCAGGGACAGCCAGGACACCCACTGGTTTGTGGAGATCCCTGAGAAAGAACGAGTTTTACATGTGGACTGTACGTAAGTTTCACCAGCCTTTCTCGCTGTATTCCTAGGACCTGCAGCTGGTCTGCCAGCACGCACACTACCCACACCCACCTCTCTTAGCCTAGGTTTGCTGCACAACAGGTATGGCTTTGGAAATCTCTCAAGTGATATTTTGTAAAACTTGGAGGAATAATTATATACCCTAATTCCAGGTATGCAGTTTCCAAATATCACTTAGAGGTCTTTATTCAGTTACACAACCATATGGACATCAACCATCTATGAGAAAATGTTCTCCTCCAAGATATGATTTAACACCTATTAGGAAGTAGCTATACCATACACACAAAAAGTAATAACTGATGGTTGGCGTCTGGGATAAAAACTTGTTCAATATGGAAACTAGTAGTTTGTTTATTGCAAAATCTAAACTGAGAGCTGCGATGCCCACATCCATTCAAATAAATAACATATGAAATACAGATTCTGGCATAGATTTAAGATGCAAAAATCAAAATCAATGAATCAAACCTGCATGTTTCATTTGCTCACAAACTTACACACACTATTCTGCAAAAAAGACAATTGCAGCAAAGAGAAAAACTGTCCTTTTGCAAATAAGACTAAAAGCATCCCTCCAAAGAGGCCAAAATAAACATGCATATATATATATGTATAAAGTGTTACTGTTGAACACAAATGCTATTTCTAGGAAAAATTTAACTGCATAGGTTAAAAACAAAAACAAAAACAATGTGCAACATCTCAAGCCATTAAAGCACCAAAAAAAAAAAAAAATACACACACCAAAATCACTGTTTTTATGACGATTAACATACACAAATAAGAAATGTTGATCAAAACTCAGGAAGTAAATACCTGGACTGATATAATGTCCATTGTTGGGAGAGTTTTTCTTCAATTTAAATGTCTTTTTTCATCACTAAAAAAAAAAATCTTAAAGTGCTAACTTTATATAAAGCAGGCAAATTCTTCAAGTAATTTGCTATAAGTAAGCCAATTTTTATAGAGCTAAACAAGAAACTAACAATAGACTAGATGTAAAGAAAAAACTGACAAGCTACAATTGGAACAAAGCTATAAGATGCTATTATACCACCTCGGCCTTTTCATTTCAATGAAACATACAAGCTAGCAGATTTAGGTTATCTGCTGGTTTAGTAACTAACTCCCTTGGGTTTACTAAAATTTACACAACAGGTATGCATAAAGTACTAAGGAAAAGGATGCAATTAAAAATCAACACTGGACATTAATTAAAGCAATCTTAAAAGGTTGTCTACTACTATAAAGGAATATAAAATGTAATAGATTTTACACACTAAGAACTGAAACACTGTCCAAAGTTTAATCACTCCTGCCCTTTAGCTGCTTTTTCAAGGAAGTACACGTTAACCAAATGGCGGTTGAGGTGTTTGCTGTAATCCTTTTCTTTTCTAAAAGAACGATCACAGAAGATACAAACGAAATCTCCCTCAACCACTTTGGCGGCCAAGGCTCCCTCTGCGCTTTTGCCGCAGGTTTCTGATGGAGCTGGCCGCGCCCCATGCAGTCCAGAATCATCGCTGCCCTCCGACATGTTGTCACTGAGGTCACTTCCATCGTGACTGTGGATGCCTTCATCTTCGTCAATTTCCTGAGACTCACTCACTGCCATGGTAACAGGCGGTGACGCTGGAGCCGTGGGGGACACTGCTTCCTGCTCTTCCATCGGCAGGGGAGGAAGGAGTGGTGCGCCTGGTCCTTCGGTGGCTGGCTCCTTCCCGGGGAGACTCTCTGCTGCTGGGTTCCGATCTGTGTCCATTTCCATCTCATGAATGTCGGTCTGGGGTTTCCCAATGGAAGTCTCACTCCCTGGCATGCTCAAGTTCTCTCCAGAAGATGCGACACTGGTAGATTCCTTGGCACTAGCAGCAAGATCAGCTAGACTCTTTTCTGGCTCTTCTGCCTTCTGAGGGGGGCTTTCAATATTTCCTTCACCTTCAGAAAATAATTTTTGGTCTTTTGACTCCTCTTGTTCTAAGTTCTCCTTTGGCAGCAGTGGTGAGGGTGGTAACAGGTCCTGTGTGCCCGCACTCTCCTTGAGAAGCTGGCAGTCTTTAACAGGCACTAAGCCAACCTCGATGAGGACCTGCTTCTTTCGTGCCACCTCGTCAGATTTTTCCTTTTCATTATCTTTTCGGGAAGGAGATTTTTTAGGAATTGGCTCCATGTGAAGAGGAGGCTCTATGGGATGAGGTGAGTCCATCTGAGCAGGCTCCTGAACAACCTCCATGTGAACGGGCTCCGTGGGACCAGGCCCCAGCCCAGAGACCTCCATGTGAACGGGTTCCAAGGGACCAGGCCCCAGCTCAGTGACCTCCATGTCAATGGGCTCCACGGGACCAGGCCCAAGCTCAGTGACCTCCGAGCAAACAGGCTCCGTGGGACCAGGGCCCAGCTCAGTGACCTCCGAGTGAACAGGCTCCATGGGACCAGGCCCCAGCTCAGTGACCTCCGAGCAAACAGGCTCCATGGGAGCAGGCCCCATCTGAGCACCCTCCAACGAAACAGGCTCCGTGGGGGGAGCCGGCTCCATCTGAGCAGGCTCCTGAGCAGCCCCCGACGGAGTGGGTGCCGTGGAAGGACACAGTTCCCTCTGGCGAGGCTCCTTCTGAGCAGGCTTATTGCTTTTTTTACTTGATTTATTTTTCAGAGTTTTCTTCTTTGTACTTTTTTTCGTGCAGGTAGTTTGCTTTTTGCTCTCTTCCACCCTGCTTCCACCTTTGGGCACTTCCGGACTGTGTTTGGATTTCCCTTCTCCCTTCTTCTTCTTTTTTGCCACAGGCTCCTCATCGTTCACAGGATCGGGCGAGGCCGGGGCTTCAGCTTCCATCTTCCTTTTGTTCTTCTTGGTTTTACAAGATTTCTCGGAGTCAGCCCCCACTGGCACACCGGCCTCTTTAGCCTCTGTGGCAGATTTGCGAGTCCTGGTTGTCACCGGGACCAGTGAGCCGTTACCACACGGCTTCTTCTCTTTTGAAATGGTCTCTCTTTTCTCTGCTTTTACAGACTTCTCATTTTTCTTTGCAGCCATGTCCCCCTTTACTTTTGTCTGCTCCGTTTCTGCTTTGTCACTGGCAACGTTGTTCTCAGGCAGGTCAGCTTCTCGCTTTTTGGTTTTCTTCAGTTTCACTTTTGAGACATCCATCGTCTTACTAGGGCAGGTAGGGTGCTTGGATTTGAAGTGATACTGTAAGTTACACTTCTTGGAAGCCGCATAGTCGCACACGGGGCAGTTGAACTGCCGGGGGTTGACGTGGAGCTCTACGTGCTTTTTGAAGTTACTTCTATCTGCTGTCTTATAGTCGCAGTGTGGGCAATTAAGAGGCTTGGGCCCATTGTGGACCTGTCTGGCGTGGCGGGTCACCTCGTGTTGATTAGAGGCCACGTAACTGCACTGATCACATTTAAATGGCTTCTCCCCTGAAGGCAAACAAGAGGCATTGAGGGAAGACATTGATTAAAATTAAAATTCAAGATTTACTAGCATTTGCTTACAAAGTATACTTATAATTGTGTATGTAAAATAACCACAAAAACTATCATTGGAAAGACTATCATGCACCTTACATCACCATATTTACTTGTATAACATGCCCCTGCCTCGTGGCACTGACACTCAAAGCAAGCAAAGGAAGCATCACCTCGACCAGCCGACACCTTCACCCAGCTCTCCACGCCAGAGCCCGCACGTGCTAACAGAGAGCCGACATTTCCCGAAAGGATGAATTACTGGTGAAGTCCAGTTGGGCTCTGGGTGTAAATTTTGGGGCAGTGCTACTCAGAGAAAAATATTCAACTAAAATTTTTTATTTAGTTTAAACATATGTATAATAAAGTAGAACATAAAAGCCCCACATATTTGAAGATAAACCTTGACAGTTCTTTCACTCTGCAGTAATTGCCAGATTGTAGGTGAAAAAGCTTTTAAAACTCGGTTTGAGCCTGAGGGAGCAAAAGGCATTTCCCACAGCAAGAGCTGAGTAAAATTTTACTCAGCAAACTTTTCCAGTGCCAGAGTTGCTATTCTAAGGCAAAAATATAGCCAAGGTTATAATTCAGAAAATGTATCTTGATTTTCTTCCCCATACCTTCTTTTACAAGGTGGGCACAGAAGCTAAGTAAATGAAAACAACATACAAATAGATATGGCATGTAAAATAAACCAAGTCATATTCACGATACACACAGAGCCAGAGCACCCCCACCCCACAGGCAGGCAGCGTTCACGTCTACCTGAATACATACCCATCTAGATCACTCTAGTAAATATTACCAAACGGTATCCAGACCCCACTGCTCCAATGGAATGCATAGTAGAAAAACGGAAATTGACATTTATGAAAATTCATCTCAAACATTCTCAAATTCCTATCAAATCTAATTAAAGAGGGTCTCAGTGCAAAACTCAGACATTAAGCAAAGCCCATGTAAACCACGTAGACGTTAAGCTTTGCCAGATTAGAAAATGATTGGTGATAAAATAATCACAAAGACAGAAACTTTACGAGGTTTAGCAGACTGGACATGTAGCTACTGACAAATATTCCCATGACGATCAAAAACAGGTTTCTACGACACGCTGTATCACGCACACTTCAACACTGTCCACTCTAGTGAGTGATTTAAACGGCAAACACCTGTCTAACACAGAGACACAGAATAGAGAAAGCTAAGAGGCACAATGGCCAGGAACTTCATCTGGAGTTAGAATATCTGAGATACAGGATCTGGGGGGCAGCAAGGGAACTGTAAGCTAAGGTACTAGATCCCACATAGTAAGCTTTGAGGTTCAAGTCCCAGACCTGGCGGCTTGACAGTCACGCTGGGCACATGTGCATGTGTGCCCAAAATCCTGAGAGCAGAAAGGAGAAGGGATGGAGGCGTGTTCATTCCCCTTGGGGCTGGTTTATCACATTCCCTCTCTCTGGTGAGTGCATGTGACCCACAGCAAAAACAAACACAACTGAAGGGAAAAAATACAGTTCTGTGACCTGCTTACTGTGAGACCTTGAGCAAGGTATTGAAGTCTCTCTCGATTTCAATTTCCTCAGCTACACAATACTCACTAATAAGTGTTATAAGCTATAAAGTAGGTGAATGCATAAAAGGTGATTAGCATGGAGAAAAAAATAAGCACCCAATATATTCAGCCTGTCACTGCTCATTTAAGAAATCAATCGTGTGGGTTCTTTCATTTTTTAGTTTTTAGCGTGCTCACCAGGGACAAAGATAGAGAAAGGAGAAATCACCTTCCAGGGTGGCCACACCACAATCCCTTTTCCTCCTCTCAAGATTTAGGGCACATGTGCACCCCATGTGTCTTTCAAGCTACTAGATCTGGAACTTGAATCGCTCAGCTGGCTTATGTGGGACCCAGCGCCTACACCACTGTGCCACTTGTTGGACAACAGGACAAGGTGTCCTGAGTGGCCATGGTGTTTCTAGGCAAGGTCCTGAGAGGCTGGGACCACAGGTGCGGGTGGGCCAGAATCAAGTCCGGGCTTCCCACACGTCTCAGACTGCCAAGCGGCAGCGCCCCACACACACTCCCAGGGCTGGGCCCCAGATGGTAACTTTTCTCTGGTTTTGCTATAGGGCATGGCCACACAATCCCTTCTCCTCTCTGGATTCTGGCATGCACACACACACCCAGCATGTTCCTCAAGCCGCAGAGTCCAGGACAGGACTTTAGCAGTTGTCCACGTGGGATTCAGCCTCAAACAGCACAACCCCAGCTGGCACCCCAGCTGGGAGTCTTAGTATAGGTAAATAAAGGGGAAGAGTCAAGCATTTACCCTGAGTTTCCCGTATGAACCTATCTCTGAGCAAACAGTGGATGAATGGAGTTTCTCTTAGTGAAAATATCTGTGCTAATAACGCACTGCAATGGGAACATCCCCACTGTATAACCGCTACTGACTGAGGGGCTCTACCGTCAGCCCTGTACACGGTCTGTATGAACCGTCAGGGAAGGAGCAGATGCAGAAACTGCTTAAAATCTGATGGCATATTACACTCGTTCCTCTAAGTTTTCTCCTCCAACATTCACATTTTTGCCATTAAATCTTGATTATATGTGTTTATCATTCTTTTTTTTTTTTCCCCATTTGCCGTGGGTGGGAGGAAATTACCCCTCATGGGGCATGGTTGCACAGCAGTCCCTCCTCCTCCACCTCTCCCCATCCTGGGCATGCACACACATTCAGTGTGTTTTTTCAAACTCCTGAGTCTGAGTCTCAAACAAGTAGTTGGCTACATGGGCCCAGTCGTTTTAACCGCCAGACCACAAGCTGGCCCCACTGTGACTTTCTAATTCCTAACTTGTGCATCAACTTTTTCTTACTTGAGGGCCAGCTTGTGGTCTACTGGTTAGGTAAGCTAGTCCCACATGCCCACTATGTGGTTCCAATCCTGGACCCAACAGCTTGAGAAATACCACTGAGTGTGTGTGCACACATGCCCCAAATCTTGATAGGATGGAGAGTGGAAGAAAAAAGATTGTAATGGCACATACGGAATACTACTGAGCCATTAAAAAAAAAAAAAAAACAAGATCCAAAGATTTGCTACAAAGTGGATGGATATGGAAGATTTATGGCTGAGTGAAGCAAGCCAGGCTATGATGGAGAGACACTGTATGTCTCCACTTAATATATACTGAGTGTCTCCACTCCAGAAACTGAAAGATTAGTGTATACAGAAGCATGAAAAGTAGTTACAAAAACTGAAGTCAGTGGGACCAGCAGTTAGCATAATGGCTATGTCGCTGGACTCCCACACAGTCGACCACGGTTCGAGTCCCGGACCCAGTGGCTTAAACTCACGCCGGGCGTGTGTGTGTGCATGCCCATGATCCCGAGAGGAGAATGGAGGAGAAGGGATTGCGGCATGGCCATCCCCCCTGGGGGGTGATTTCTCGCTTTCTATCTCTTTGTCTCTCTCTGTCTGGTGAGCGCATGCGCCCTATAGCAAAATCCTCTCCAAAAAAAAGAAAAAATAAATAAATAAAATTTTAAAATGCTCAATTCTTTTCAAAGAATTATTTACTTTATTATTATTACCATTCGATTTGAGCAGAGAGAGAAGGGGGAAATAAGAAAGCAAGCCGTGGGACCAGCAGGTGGTGTGGTGGTTAAGGCGCTGGACACTCCCACATGGCCAACCATGGTTCAAGTCCTGGACCTGGTGGCTTGCTTTCTCACTTTCCCTCTTTCTCTCTGTGTCTCTCTCTGGTCAAATTAATAAATGAATGAATAAATAAAATTAAATTTAAAAAAAGAAAGAAAGAAAGAAAGCCACTAGGTCTGAGACTTAAACTTGGACAGCCATGTGGTGAGTCCAGCACCTCAAACACCACACCACCTGCTGGCACCATTAAGACTTTTTAAATAGTAAAACTACAAAGGCAACCGCTAAAAACTATCTTTAAAATATAGCAAGCAGGGGCCAGCAAGTGGTGTCATGGTTAAGGTGCTGGACTCCCACAGGGCGACTACAAGTTGAGTCCTGGACCAGTAGCTTAAAACTCACAGCGGGCATGCGAGTATTCATGCCTCAAATCCTGAGAGATGGGAGAAGGGACTGCGGCATGGACATCCCCCCAGGGAGTGATTTCTCACTTTCCTTCTCTTTGCATCTCTGTTGAGTGCACGCACCCTATGGCCAAAAAAATCTATATATGTATATGTGCACATGTGTGTGGGTATATTTGTTTATGTATGTGTGTGTGTACGGCAAGCAAAACTCTAGGTGATATTTAACACAAAACTGTTTCAGGGAAAATTCAAAACTTTTTATTTAACTTGCCTTGTTTATTAACAGTCTCCAATTTGGCCAGAGAGACAGAGAGGGAGAGTGAAAAAGCAAGCTGCCAGGTCCAGGGCTTGAACCATGGTTGTACGTGTGGGAGGTCCATACCTTAACCCACCACACCACCTGCCAGCCTCTACTTTTTTTTTTTTAATTTGCCAAAGAGTACATGCACTCACCACAGAGACAGAGGAAAAGTGAGAAAGCACCCCCTATGGGGGATGGTCACGTCACAATCCCTTCTCAATCTCTCCATCTCTCTTCATTTGTGATTTCATTACACCAGGGGTGTTCAATCTTTTGGGTCCAGGACAATGCAATTTGGCCATATGGGATCCAGCAACCTTAACTACCAGGCCCCACCTGGACCCATAGACAAAGATTTTCAACTGATGTAAACCATCAGATTTGTAGCCTTCATTGAGTTGATAACACAAGGCTAATAAAAGCGTGTCATCATTCTAATCCAATGACAAAATATCATTAATAATATATGACTTCTGGGACCAGTAGATGGTGTAATGGCTACATCGCTGGACTCACACAAAGTCGACTAAGGTTCAAGTCTTGGACCCGGCAGCTTAAAACTCACACCAGGCACATATACATGTACGTGTGTGCCCAAGATCCAGAGAGAATGGACAAGGGATTGCAGTGTGGCCACCCCCCAGGGGGGTGATTTCTCACTTTTTGTCTCTCTGTCTCTCTCTGTTGAGAGCAAGCACCTAGCAAAAATCTCTAAAAATAAATAAATAAAAGTTGACTTCAAATGCCTTATCATAAGGTAGGTGTCAACAATTAGATTTAACTTCTAGTTTACAAGTAATACAAGGGACAGAAGAACAATTCAATGGCACCATGAAAAAACAGAAGACATACCCAGAAGGGGGAATGTTCTATAGGAAAACTAGCCATATTGTTTCAATGTTTTATTTTCCCCATCGGTAAAATGGGGATAATGAAACTTATACAATACAGGATAATTCTGAAGACTAAAATGAGTTAACTCCTATAAAGTGCTTAAGTGTTTTAATAAAGAGCTAGCATGACACTGGATAGAACACCCAGCCTCAGAATGCAACCAAGCTATGCTTGAAGAACTATACCTGGAGCCACCACAAAGTAATAAAACCAGGTTTCAGGGCCAGCACATGGCATAGCACTTAAGTCGCTGGACTCCCACATGGTCAACTGGGGAGTCTTGGACCAGTGGCTTGATACTCACACTGGGCACAGATGCATGCATGCCCAAGATCGGAGAGGAGAATGGAGGATGCGGGTCGGCAGTGGCCATGACCCTGGGGGAAGATTTCTCACTTTCCCCCTCACTGTCTGTCTCCTCTGCCCCATCAAGTACATGTGCCCTAAGGCAAAAAACTTCTAATAAAGAAACTAACAAACCAGTTTCTGATTAAAGGTACAACTCAATGGCACGGGAGATTCAGAAAGAATCTAGTAAGTACATTATCGTGAAAAGCATGGGTGCTCAGGAAACACCAGCAAATATACTGAGCCCCTTACACAGATGCTCAAATGAAAGCAGCACCTGTAAGGCGACTGCGTCCTACTGTCACTGCTGACTCAGGGCAGCAACGTCCCAGAGATTCAGTGCACATCACTGGGTCGTCGGAAAAGTCATGACGCTATTTTGCTCAGAAAAACAGAAAAGTACACCATGACTTTTCTGACAACCTAATATATGTGATGTTTAATTTTCTAGTAGTCACATAATGAAGGTAAAAAACAAAAATTAAATTACCTTTGTTCCTTTTATAAGTCAATATGAAATCATGTCACCATGTAATCAACATAAAAAAGACATTTTTACTTTTTTTTTTTTTTTTTTTTTGCTACAGGGCACGTGCACTGGCCAGACAGACAGAGACAGAAAGCGAGAAATCACCCCCCAGGGGGGGTGGTCATGCTGCAATCCCTTCTCCTCCATTCTCCTCTCAGGATCTTGGGCACACACGCACACACACCCGGCGTGAGTTTAAGCCACCGGGTCTGGGACTCAAACCGCGGACGACTACATGGGAGTCCAGAGATGTAGCCCATTACGCTAACTGCTGGTCCCCATTCTTTTTCTTTTTTTTTTTAAATTATTTATTCATTCATTTATTTTTAATTTGACGGCGAGAGACACAGTGAGAGAGCGAGAAAGAGGGGAAAGTAAGCCACCAGGTCCGGGAATCGAACCGTGGTCTGCCACGTGGGAGTGTCCAGCACCCCAACCACCATGCCACCTGCTGGTCCCCCCCCATTCTTGATACTATTTAAAATCCAGTGTATGTTTTATAAATCTCAATTCAAACGAGCCAAATTTCACAAGCTCAGTGGTCACATGGGATTAGTGGGTGCCCACCTGGACAGCACAGACCACGGTGAACTGAGGTGGGAGAGGTCTGCACAGGCTTTGTGAGCAGTGAGACTGGAGCACGCCTTAACCCACAGGGACAGACATGCGACACCCAGGGGACTTTCCCTCCCTACCACCCCTCAGCCCACGTGTGGTGATCTGTGCTTTACTCAGTCTAGGTTAACAAACTGGTATCCTGGATTACCCACTTTTTTCTTTAAGGTTTACCGTCTGTAAATTTAGAGTCCTCAACAGTGCGATCAACTCTCAAAACAGAATTAAAACCCAACTCTACAACCTGAAAAACTACAGAGAAAGTCTCCAAAACCCGGCGCCCACACACTGTTAACCTCTGCTGCGCTGCTGGGAGCAGGTGAGAAGGTAAGGGTTGTTCAGAAAGTATGAACCAGCCTTGGCCTATGTTAGTTAGACTTTTACTGGAGTCTTCGGAGATGTGATTTTGATTGGAGGATCTGGTAAATGTTTAGGTCTCTCATCTCTCAGAAAATGTGAATATGAAAATTCCAGCTATGGATTCCACATTAAGAATCACCATCTAGGGGACCAGCAGTTAGCGTAATGGCTATGTCGCTGGACTCCCACATAGTCGACCGTGGTTCACGTCCCAGATCCGGTGGCTTAAAACTCACGCCAGGCGCGTGTGCATGCATGCCCAAGATCCCAAGAGGAGAACGGAAGAGAAGCTCAACAGTGCGATCAACTCTCAAAACAGAATTAAAACCCAACTCTACAACCTGAAAAACTACAGAGAAAGTCTCCAAAACCCGGCGCCCACACACTGTTAACCTCTGCTGCGCTGCTGGGAGCAGGTGAGAAGGTAAGGGTTGTTCAGAAAGTATGAACCAGCCTTGGCCTATGTTAGTTAGACTTTTACTGGAGTCTTCGGAGATGTGATTTTGATTGGAGGATCTGGTAAATGTTTAGGTCTCTCATCTCTCAGAAAATGTGAATATGAAAATTCCAGCTATGGATTCCACATTAAGAATCACCATCTAGGGGACCAGCAGTTAGCGTAATGGCTATGTCGCTGGACTCCCACGTAGTCGACCGTGGTTCACGTCCCAGATCCGGTGGCTTAAAACTCACGCCAGGCGCGTGTGCATGCATGCCCAAGATCCCAAGAGGAGAACGGAAGAGAAGGGATTGCGGCGTGGCCATCCCCCTGGGGGGTGATTTCTCGCTTTCTGTCTCTCTCCGTCTGGCGAGCGCACGCGCCCTATGAATCACCATCTAGATACAGCACCAAACTAACAGCACACTAATTTAACTCTAATTTCTAAATAAATCACAAATACAGCTCAGGGCTTAAAAAACCCCTTATAGTGCTTGTTTACTAAAAAAATAAGAGGAAAAGTCCCCCTTTCTTACCAACCTGAATGAGTACGCATGTGTCTAGTCAGATGAGTCTTCTGAGAACTTGAGTAAGGACAAAGTTCACATTTATATGGACGCTCTCCTGCAAAATTATAATAAAGTGTGTAAATGTAACAGAACAAGCCAAACACCATTCTCACTAGTAATAACACAATACTCGGTCCTGAGCACTTTATAACAAGGACTTTTTTCTACTCCTGGTGAAACAGTCGGGTCTTATTTCAGAATTTATGTAACTACTTTATTTCAGCTTTGCTAACAAGTATCACTGGGCGCAGCCCCATGGGTGCTCCAGCCACGTGGGAGAAACTCCTCCTGCCCGCTGGGTTGCACTCTCTGCTCATCTGAAATACCACATCCTCTTTCCAGCAAAGGGACACTTCCCTGGTATCTGCAAAAGCTACTGTGGTGTGACTGGCCTTGAACCACAGAACTGGGGTCTAACTGCTTGCTCTGATGCTTACTTTTTCGGGAGGTCGTAAAGCAAGAAGGTAAAGCCTGCCACTTACTAACGTGTGTGTTTTACACACACGTCACTGGCATTACGATCTTTCACAACTCTCCGTTTTCACAGTCATGTATGAAATGGTTTGCTTTTCGTGTGTTGTCTGTTTTTAAGTTTTGCTATATATGGGGCACATGTGGAGAGGGAGAGTAAGAAATCACCCCTGGAGTGGCCATGCCACTATTCCTTCTCCTCCAGTCTCAATAATAATATCCGGGGCATGCACACACACATGCCCAGCGTGATTTCCAAGCTGCTAGGTCTGGGACTCAAACCGTATAGTCGGCCACATGGGATCCGTGCTTAAACCTCCATGCTACCTGCTGGCCAACACTACAGCAAGTATTAAGAACTGAAAACTATCTTAGTAAGGTATCTAGACTGCTTTCTTTTTATGAAGAATTATCCTGTTAAAAACCGAGCCAAAGGGCCAAACAACACAGCAGCTCTAGGAGACAATCCCGCGTGGGAAGATTCCTGGTTCCTGTCTGGAGACCCCCTGAATGTGCCAGGTGCACACTCCGAGACTGGCTGAAGGCTGGGTGGCTCTTGGCATCAGACCCCTGCTAGGGTCCTCTCTTCACCTCTCTCATTCATGGAGAAAAAAAATAAACTTAAAAAAAAAATTTATCTAGGAGCCAGCAGCATGGCCGACCACGGTTCAAGTCCCGGACCTGTTGGCTTGCTTTCTCCCTCTCTCTCTGTCCCTCTCTGGTCAAAATTAAAATAAATAAGTAAATAAATAAAGTGAAATAAGATAATTTTTTTTAAAGTAGAAAAAAAATTATCCAAATTTCCTGATGTTACTGCATGGGCAGTTTTTTTAATCTTTGTAAACAATGAATCTGCACCTGAAAATGCCAGCGTAGGGCCAGTCCTGTGACACAGCAGTTAAGCACTGTGCATGGACAGCCGGATCCCACATGCCAACCACAGTTCGATCCTAGAGCCCTGAAACAGAGGCTGACATGAGGGCATGCCCAAAATCCTGCCGAGGACACATGGAGGAAGAGGGACTGTGGCATGACCACCGCCCACTGGAGAGTGCTTTCTTTCTCCCTTGTCTTTCCTCTCCGGCAAGCGCAGGTGCCCACTGATAACTGAAAATGTTAACTTACAGCAACAACACTTAAAAGTGCGGCTATTTTAAACTAAAAATTCAAGGAGTAGAGGTAACACTGATGTGAAGTTTGGTCATCGGTGTTGAATTATAAAGCTGCAGGGTCTGACAACACCAGAAGCTAAGAAGCCAGTGAGTCAGTACTCATCGATTGAAGACGGAGGACCAGCAGATGGACTCCCAGAGGGCCAACCCCGGTCTGAAAATCATGCCAGGTGCACGTGTGTGTATGCCCAAGACCCCAGGAGGAGAATGGAGAAGGGATTGCAGTGTGGTCCTCCCCTCTGGGGGCTGATTTCTCACTTCCCCTCTCATTATCTCTGTGTCTTTCTCTCTGGCACGTATATACACCCCAAGGTAAAAACTTCTTTAAACAACAAAAAAGAATTGAGGACTCAAAACTGAAGACAGCACACACAAGTACAGTCCTTTTGTTTAAAAAGCTGGACAGGGGGCCAGCAAGCGGTGTGGTGGTTAAGGGCAAGGGACTCTCACATGGCCTACTGCAGCTCGAATCTGAACCTGGTGGCTTGTTTTCTCAACTTTCCCTCCCTCTCTTCCTCTTACTCTTCCCTCTGTGGTCAAATGAAAATTTAAAAAAGTTAAATAAAATAATTCTCTTTTTTTTTTGTTTTGTTTGTTTTTTTGCTATAGGGTGCATGTGCTCACCAGTAAAACAGACAGACAGAAAGCGAGAAATCACCCCCCAGGGGGGATGGCCACTCCACAATCCCTTCTCCTCCATTCTCTTCTCAGGATCTTGGGCATGCATGCACACACACTGAGCATGGGGCCAGGACTCAAACCACGGTTGACTAAATGGGAGTCCAGCGACATAGTCATTACGCCAACTGCTGCTCCCACTAAGTAATTCTTAAAAAAAAAAATAAATAAATAAGAGGATGAGCTCTACAGCCTAGTGGTTAAGGGAGCCAGATCCCATGTGGCCCACCCTGCCGTTTGTGTCCTGGCCCTAGTAGCTTGACAAGCACACGGGGCACATGTGTGTGCATGCCCCAGGTCCTGCCGGGGTAGAGAAGGGGCCATGGTGTGACTAAGCCCCACGGTGGGCGGGTGTGTGCCTGTGTCCTCTCCCTGTCCCTCTCTCTGGTGAGCGCACACCCTCTGGAGAGGCAAACGAAGAGGGCCAGCTGGTGCCGCGGCGGCTACGATGGCTGACCTCACCCGGCCTGTGCATTCCAGTCCCAGACTCAGTGGCTTCGAAAACACGCTGGGCACATGTGGGAGCATGCCCAAAACCCAAAAAAGAGGGAAAAATGCAGGGACCCCCCCCCCAGGAGGTGCTTTCTCACTCCCTCCTCTCCATAGGACAGAGTTGCCGTGCCACCAGACTCTGTGGAGGGCGCTCATCTCTCTCAACTGTACACACTCACGCTCTATCATGAGCAAGAAGCAAAAAAGGCTCTAATAACTTAACACTAAAACGTGAAATGCGACTCGCGACTAGTGTTAGCTGTAAACCATGTAATCATAACCTTATTGTAGAATATCAGCCATTAGAGAGAAATTAAATAAAACATATGTAAAATATAGCCATTACAAACTGGTCACCTAATCACATAAAAATACCTAACAGTAAAACAACCCATATTTTCTCCATTCTCGAGTCTAAAATTATTTTTAAATTTGCTGTAGGACACGTGCTCACTAGAGAGTGGGAGAGAGAGCACCCCAGGGGGGAGGCCATGCTGCAAGTCCCTTCTCTTCTCTCTGCTCAGAATTTCGGGAATGCACGCACATGCGTCTGGTGTATTTTTCAAGCCACCGGGTCTGGCACTGAAACTGCAGTCAGCCGTGCGGAATCCAGGCACCTTGACCAACGTGCTCTCCGACTGGCCCCTAAAAGTATTCTTAAGTCAACAAACTGAAATTCACTGTTGAAAATATTTTTAACTTATTAATAAAACTGCTAAGTTGTCCAGTAACTCAACACCTCTGAGGTTATCAAAACACAAGTGACCACAAAACAAAACTTCGAAGAAAAAGCACTGAGATACTGAGTTGACTCTGCATGCTGGGTATGAATATATGTGTTTGTAAAAACTCTTCAAGGTGTATACATCAAAGTCGTGTACCTTACCCTATGTCAGTTACTGCCTGAGTGTTCTATTTCTTCGGCAATTTTTTTTCTCTTTAAAAGAGATTTTTGGGGGCAACCAGCAGTTAGCGTAATGGCTATGTCGCTGGATTCCCACGTAGTCGACCGCGGTTTGCATCCCAGACCCGGTGGCTTAAAACTCACGCCAGGCGCGTGTGCGTGCGTGCCCAAGATCCCAAGAGGAGACTGGAGGAGAAGGGATTGTGGCGTGACCATCCCCCCTGGGGGGTGATTTCTCGCTTTCTGTCTCTATGTCTCTGTCTGTCTGGCAAGCACACGCGCCCTATAGCAAAAACCTCTTAAGAGAAAAAAAATAAAAAGATTTTTGGGGAACCAGCAAGTGGCGTGGTGGTTAAGGTGCTGAATACTTCCACATGGCTGACCACGGTTCAAGTCCCAGACCTGGTGGCTTGCTTTCTCGCTCTCTCTCTGGTCAAATTACAATAAATAAATAAATGAATAAAATTAAAAATAAGTAATTCTTTAAAAAAATAAAAGAGAGACTTTTGGTACAGGGTGCATGCGTTCAACCAAGAGACAGAAAGCAAGAAATCATCCCAGAGGGGATGGGCACACACCTCAATATCCTTCCTCCATTCTCCTCTTGGGATTTTATGCATGCGCACACACACACACACACACAGCTTGAGTTTGAAGCTGAGAGGGCCAGGACTCAAAGCACAGCTGGCCATGTGAGAATCCAGCAACATAATCATTATGTTACCTGTTGGTCCCCTCTATGGCAATTCTAAATTAGACCTCAAAGTTTTTTTTAAAAAATTAAGTGAATATGAAGTACGACTTATGGGTAAAGTATATACAGTACCCAGGATTTAAGATATTGTAGGTGAGGTTCATTTAACAGTCTAATTCAAACTGTTATGTGATTAATGGGATGGGGAGGGGGAGGCTTTTTTTTTGCTACAGGGCACGTGCGCTCGCCAGCGAGAGACAGAGAGGTAGAAAGTGAGAAATCACCCCCCCAGGGGGGATGGTCATGCCGCAATCCCTTCTCCTCCAGTCTCCTCTTGGGATCTTGGGCACGCACGCACACGCACCCGGGGTGAGTTTAAGCCACCAGGTCCGGAACTCAAACTGTGGTCGACTACATGGGAGTCCAACGACATAGCCATTACGCTAACTGCTGGTCCCTGTATGAATTATACGTTGAAATCAAATTATTTCAAAACATGGAGACAGTCACAAGTTATAACAAATACCTAGGAGACTTCAAATTCTTTTAGTAAACTAGGTTTTAAGGCTTCCAACACATGAGCCATCTGTTGGGGCTTAGAAATCTTGCCAGCAGAGGTCTTTCTTGTCAAGGAATCTTGCCTGCAAGTGTGACTGGTTAAGTCTCCCACTCAGGAGAAGTATTGTGACTCCCTACCCACTGCATGGGGGCTGAGGCAAAAGCATCCTGTGCCACTTTGCACTAGAGTACAACACTAGATTTCTTTTTATTTTTTTAAACAATTACTTATTTAGGAACCAGCAGTTAGCGTAATGGCTAAGTTGCTGGACTCCCCTGTAGTCAACCACAGTTCAAGTCCCAGACCCAGTGGCTTAAACTCACGCCGGGCGCGTGTGTGTGCTCGCCCAAGATCCTGAGAGGAGAATGGAGGAGAAGGGACTGGCGTGGCCATCTCCTCTGGGAGGTGATTTCTCACTTTCTGTCTCTGTCTCTTTATTTCTGGTGAGCTCATATGCCCTACTGCAAAGACCTCTCAAAAAAATAAAATTAAATAAAGCCCATTAACTATAAATAGTCATTCCTCAGTATCTGTGGGAAATTGGTTCCAAGAGGTCCCTATGGGTACCAAAATTCAAAAATGCTCAAGTCTCCTTTTTTCCTCTTCTAATTGCCAGAGGGCACATGCACTAGCCAATAAGATAAAGAGGGGTAGAAGGATTCAAACACCCTCTCTTCCCCAAGGACCCAGTCAGGCTGCAGTCCCTTCCATCTCTCCATCCTGTCAGGATTTGTGCACATGCGCCAAGTGAGTTTTTCAGGATGTCGGGGTTAGGATTCGAACCACAGTGGGCCATGTGGGACTGTGCGAGTCTTCAGGTCCCTTACATAAAACGGTACCATGTTTGCATATATCTATGCATCTCCTCCAATACAGTTTCAGTACTCTGTGGGTTACTTATACTATGCAATACAATGTAAACACTACGTAAATCAACAGTTGTTATGTTGGTTTTTTGTTTCATTTTTTAATGTTGTACTGCTACATATATTTTTGATTTGAGGTTTAGTGAGTCCACAGAAGTTGAAAGCACACACGTATAGAACCCATGGGTACAAAATCTGTGGATATGGAGTCTACACTGTATTTATCTGAAAGCCAATTTTAAGTGAATAACTACTGGATGCAGGAGATAAGGGGGAAGTGACAGCTAATTATGGTTTCTCATTGGAGTGATGAGAAAGCCTCACATGTGATAACTGTACAACTCTGAATATACTAAAAAGTACTGAATTGTACTTTAAATGGATGATTACAGTGAAGTATATCTCAATAAAGCTATTTCTAATCATTTCTAATCATTGAAACATGCCAAATGTAACCAATTAATAACTCCATGTAGGTGAAGTGTAAATGTTGGACACTGCAATACTATTCTGAGATGTCTGAAATTCTCCAATAGAGTTGCACTTGCCAGTTACACAGTGCCTCTTAGCCGGATGCATACAAAATACTGAACATAAATACTGTCTGGGAAACAGTTCTATTTTCCAGTCAGTCCAGTAGCCTAGCAGTTAAGGAAACCAGGTCCCACATGGCCAACCACAGATCAAAACAAAGTCCCCAGCAGCTTAATTAAAAAAAAAAAAAAAAAAAAAGGCAACAGGCACATGTGCAAGCATGTCCCAAATCCCAACAGGAAAGAGGAGGGACTGCAGCGTCACCGCGCCCCAGCACCCGGTATGCTCCCCGTGCCCCTCAGTCTCTGGCTAGTGCATGCACCCTCTGGTGAGAAAAAAAAAATGGGTTCAACTGGTGGTAATCCCACCTATCTTTTAAAAACTAACTTCTCGCATTTCTCTGTACTTCCGGCTAAGACAAGCTGCTCCATTTAAGGAACTCAATGCCACCAGTCAAGTGTTTCTCGATGTTCAAGGAGCCCAAGAGGCAGGATCCAGCGTTAATGGCCAGGTCTTCCTCTCTTAGCACCAATTCCCTCAATTCCTTTCGGGAACACACTGCACCTTAGATGTGTTCGCTCTAAAACACACCCACAAACTCAGAAGCAGTCGGATTTGCTCAAATGGTCTGTCCCGACTTGTTAGAACGTGCAATTTAGGAAGAACATCAGTAAGATTTCTTGGGTTATTTTTCCAAATAGTGGGGTTTACATGTATTAATTACTTAATGTAATCCCCCAATTCTGTTTTTAAAGAAACATTTATTAAACTGTATTTATTTTTATTAGTTTTTACTCTGATCAGAGAGAGACATGGAGAGAGAGAGCAAGGGCAAGTGAGAAAGACAAGTCACCAGGTTTGGGACTCGACCATGGTCGGCTCTGTGGGAGTCCAGCACCTCAACCACCACGCCACCTGCTGACCAATTCTCTATTATATGCTATGACTCCATGGAAAAAACGAGGCACAATGAGGCCTGCAGGTGGCATGGTGGTTAAAGGCGCTGGATTCCCACATGACAACCGTGGTTCGGCTTGCTTTCTCATTTTGCCTTTCTCTCTCTTTATTTCTATCTGGTCAAAGTGATAAATGATAATCCTTTTAAAAAAAGAAAATGGGGCACAAATATGTGAAATAACTTATCCAAGGTCACAAAGGAATAAATCCCCCCACTTTTTTGGGAGAGGTTTTTGCTACAGGACGCATGCGCTCGACAGACAGAAAGCAACAAATCTCCCCCCAGGGAATGGTCACACCGCAATCCCTTCTCCTCCATTCTCCTCTTGGGATCTTGGGCACACAAGCACACACGCCCAGTGTGAGTTTTAAGCCACTGGGTCTGGGACGCGAACTGCGGTCGACTACATGGCAGTCCAGCGACATAGCCACTGTGCTAACTGCTGGTCCCACAAAGGAATAAATTCTAATAAAGGAATCTGGATTTGAACCCATCATCCATTTCTCAAGCACTAGTCAACTACTTGATCAGAAGTGACAGCTGAAATCATGGCCTCGAAGGCATCTCTTACCTGTATGAGTTCGAACATGCTGAACATAATTGTTTTTCCTGTCTGAAAAATAGTTGCATTTTCCACACGTGTACACTTTCCTTGGGAAATGGTTCCGCAGGTGTTTCCTCCAGTGGTACTCGCTGACGGTGGTGTACGTGCAGATGATGCACTTGTACACGCGCTCGTTGTCCCCGGCCCTGGTGTGGTGCTTCAGGTGGGCAGTGTAGTGATCGTATCTGTTGGTGTTGTAGCCACAGCGGTCACAGCGGATGGGGCCCTTGGAGAAGTCGCCCTCTTCGGCAGTGGAAGAACTAGATTCCCTAGCCTTTGCTTGCTTCTCTGCACTTTCCTCCACAAAAAACTTCTTGGCACTGTGCACTCTGATGTGATGCACAAACTGTTCTTCTGATTCTGCCTCGTACTGGCACGGCTTACAGCGAAAGGGTTTGGTCTTCAAGTTCTTGCATTTGTCCTCTGCTCCAGCTGTTTCGGGAGGGAGATCTTTATTTGAACTGTAAACTTCCGGGGCAGCTGATGCTTCAAATACCGGCTGTGGCTCCTCGACGCTCAGCTCCAAACGTCTCAGCTCCATGTTTTCCAGGCCATTGGGTTCGCCTTTTATTTCGGGAGACTCTTCAAGTCCTTCACCATCACTGTCTGAAAAGTTGTTGTCCCCGACGGGCATCAACTCTGCCATCTGTCTCTCCTCACCCACCAGGTAATCGCAGCAGCTGCCGTTCACCTCCCCGGTTAGGGCCACGTTGGCCAGCATGATAAGCTGAGGTGCGGCCAGTTCGGCTTTGGAGAGGTCATGCAAGTCGTACATGTCGTTGGGCAAGGCCATGCCGAGGCTGCCGCTGCTGGGGAACAACCCTCCTCCTCCAGAAGACTGCCCCATCACCTGGGTGGCCATAACTGGGTGCTGAAGCAAAAGCAAACGACAAGAACAGGAGCACCAGTTTAAGGAAAACTTTTACTGGCCACAAACCAAGGCACCAATATAATTCATTCTCCTTAATGATGAAGACAACAACAAAATCCCCCAAAGTAACCTTTACACCTCAACGAGCTTCAGTAACTAAGAAAAATAAACCTCCATTTGAGTGCCCAGTGCTCTTCACCCAGAGAACTTTCCCGGGCCCTAGAAAAAACTGTAGCAACTGTGGGACAAAATTTACTCCCCTTACTCAGCCAGAGGTCTACCTCCGGCATGCGGCCCCCCAAGCACTTCTCATTCTTCTGGCAGAGGAAGATAAGTGACCTTCATTTATAATGTTAACTAGAATCGTTTTGAAAACTTAACATATGCACAATAAGCATTGTCCTCCCAATTCTCCCCTCCGGTGTGGTCTGAGCCACCAAGCCCTGACAGCCACAGCCATTCTGTGCCGGTTTCTTAAGTTCGCAGACAAGTCTGGAGAGGGGAGAGCCTGTAATAATTGCTCAACTTAATTGAGTTTCATAAGAACTCAACTAACTCAGAAAGAATAAACTACTGTGAAAAAGTACCACTTAGTCTCTCTCGATTTTTTGATGACTCCAACTGTTGTTTACTAAAAGGAAAAAATAACTATGAATCCCTTTGTCCTGTGAAAAAGGAAGTTTGGGGTTTTTTGTTTTTTTTTTTTGAGTATTTCACAAATGAAAATAAGGAATGCTTTCAAACTCCCTCGCTAAGAAGACAACCCAACACTCGAGAACCGGCAACTTTCTTGCATTGTGCTAGACTTGGCCTACTCGCCTGGCGGAAGCCATTACAAGATCACCTTCCAGAAGCTGAGCTTTTTAAATGGTCTGAGCCACGTTACTTCCCAATCCAAAAGGTGCTATTCTCAAAAGAAGCGATCCCTTGCAAATTAGAAAATGCCAAATAAGTGACAAATACCAAAAAAACAAAAAAACTTTCAAGCAAAAATACGAAGAGTAATCCGTCTCACCCAAGTGGACACACACAGACGGGTTCACTCGTGTGTTCCAACAAAAGTTGGAATGAAAATGCCATCACAGAAAACAGGGCAAAGCTGTCTCGGGGCTCACCAGCCAAGCTGGCTCGGTAACTGACCCCCACGCCGACTTCCCTAAGGCCCCCTAACCCTCAACGCCCACCCCTGCGGGAA